CCATACTTCAACCTGCCACAGACTTGAGGAAGACCCCTGCTTCCCTCCCGCCCCCCCACTTAAACCCATCCAAAACCTTCCCTCCCACCCACAAAGTTTAGTTGTTACAGGACAGACTTCACTTGTCCTACAGTGACATTAAACAAAATTATCTACAAAATATGTTATGTAGTCTACAGTTAACAGTTTTATGTTAGACTAAAGGGCTTATACAACAGGCTGTTTCTTCACGTTTACATATGCCCCCAGTGCTAGGTACACGTATAAACAGTGGTTACAGGAAAAGTCAGACTAGTTACATTTATGCCAGTTTTAGTGAAAAAGAACCACTTCTGCAATGTTAACATGCTTACTCACAGAAGGGAAAGATCTGCTCTGCTGCCATGTTAACTTTTCTGGAAACCTTCTGGACCATCCATGAAGTTAAGTAACCATCATTAGTTCCCAGATTGGATGGAATTGGTTAATATGGCAGCTTCCTTGCAGTAGCTACATAGTTAAGAGCACTCACAGTATTAGCAGCTAGTAGCTTAATCTACCTAAAGAAAAAAGGTACATTTTTTTCCTTGTAGTTCCTGTGCTTTCTGCCTAGACACCCTAAGGAAATGACATGCCTGCATTCAAGGAAAGTGTTCTGCATCAGTCCCATAAGCTGTTTAAAAAACAAAACACAGCAAAACCCAAACCAGACACAGTTCTGTCTTTATGGCTCTGCACTCAAGAACTTCATTGTAGAAACGAGCTTTAACTGCAGATTTGGTTTTGAAGGTCTGGAGTCCCATCTATACTGACGTGGCTCAGAAGTCCAAGTGTGTACTACTTGGGTTTACTTCATACCACTTCCATGTCTGTGGAACATAGAGCAAAACTCCTGGCAGCCTATTTACAGTTCACAGTTTCAAGTAGTTCACATTACAGTAGTAGCTCAATCAATAGGCTCAGCTAAACATTCAAGTAACAAAAACGCCATTAACTTCTTCTTGCCAGCATATCCCTGTGTGTCCATTGCCGGCAATGGACTTTACAGCAGGGAAGTCTGCTCCTAGAGCCAAGCAGTTGAAGTACAGGATTGATGCAAAGTATAATATCTCAGTGCATGCAGTTGCAAACCAACAAAGCTGTATCACATGCTGCATCTCAAGAAGGTGTTTGCTGAAGAGAACAGCATGTGTATGTTTAAGTCCTTCACAGTATCATTTCTGCTGGTTACACATATCTCAGATGTAATCCAGATACACATTATGCTGCTTTAAGTTAGCTATGAACTTCTGTGCCATTAGGAGTCAGCTTAGCTTTCCTCTCAACACAAGGTCCTTTAGCAGAGTACTGTACCAAAAGAAAAGGCTCTTTGGTTTCTCCTTCTCCCACAATACTCTCTTCATCCTCAGACTGGCTGATCCTCTGCAGGCGCAGATAACACCAACAGCCCAGTATCAAGGCACCTAGGGCTGCAATAGCAATCAAAATAACAATGACAGTCACCACTCCAGTGGTGGGGCTATGGTCCATAATAGACATGGTCAGTGTTTAAGTTCAGTTCACAGAGCTTAAAAGATGGTGGTTCTGTTTTTGATATCAGTTTTAAAACTCCTGGAAAACAGAAAAGACAGACACTTAATGCAATTATACTGCAGTTATCCCAGTCTTTCCACATTCAGCAACTTTAATGTCAGTGTTGGTGCTGCTACCCATGCTAGCAAACAGTTGTCTTGCTGTTAACATCCCAGGTTCTGGAATTGGACAGATAGTTCTGCCTGAAAGCCAGCTTTGCTTCACACAGCCTTGAACCTGCAAGGTCACAGAGGCATACAGCTTCTAGCCCCCATAACTTTGCTTCATCTTGTGAAAAACTACAGTTGTGGCATTTTTGCCATACTGGGTTATGTAACTGTCTAGTATCACAAGATCCTAAAAGGATTACTTGAGCAGAAGAAAAAAGATACCTAGTTAACATATGCAGAAGTACCCATATTCACTCGAGATTCCCTCACATGCTCCTCTCTGGGAGTTTACTTATGACAATAAGTTCACAAGTGTGTTCATAATTTATATGACCCCAATAACTACGCAAACCTTTGCTGCCATTAAAGTCGCTAAAGCTCCACTGCGTACTCATCTTACAAGGACATTCCCAGATTTGAGGAAAATTCTTTCCTCTGCAACTAGTGGGAACTGTTATAGTGTAAAAGGATTTATAATATATACTGTAACGTATATGCTGCAATTATGCATAAGCTCTTGGAAGATTTATGGCCAGGTAGCAGTTTATCATTTATATATGGAGTTAAACTATAAAGTTTAATATTTATTTATTCAAAGTGGTCTAAGAGGAATCTCTGAATATTAAGAAGCAAAAATACACTCAAGCAGCCTCATACAGGAAAATTACATCAACTATGAAAGCCCTGTACAAGTGTGAATCTTATGGGGAGGGTGCTGAAGGTTGTAATTTGTATGCAATATTTGGGTGCTCAAACTTGGAAGGAGCAGGTTACAGTTGCTAAATACAAAGTGTGTGCAGGCTAAAAAAAGAAAATAACAGACGTCACAATAGCTCTGATACAAAACTGCTCTGACTGAGACTTTTCTAAACCATGATTTTTCTTCATAGATTCGTAGAAGTATGGTCGGAAGGGATCTTCTAGTCTGACCCCTGCCCTGGGCAGGGGAGAGAACTGGGCTCAAATGACCCCAGCTAGGTAAATGTCAAGCCTCCTCTTAAAGACCCCCAAGGTAGGAGCCAGCACCACTTCCCTTGGAAGTTTGTTCCAGATCCTAGCTGCCGTGACTGTGAAGTGGTGCCTTCTAATGTCTAGTCTAAACCTACCCTCTAACAACTTATGGCCGTTATTCCTTGTTACTCCGGGAGGTGCTCGGGAGAACGAGGTCTCTCCCAATCCCTGCTGGTCCCCCCTAGTAAGTTTATAGATGGCCACCAGGTCCCCCCTCAGCCTTCTCTTGTGAAGGCTGAACAGGTTCAGGTCCTGTAGCCTCTCCTCGTAGGGCCTGCCCTGCTGTCCCCAGATCAGTGAGTGGCCCTCCTCTGGACCCTCTCCATGTTGTCCACATCCCTCCTGAAGGGCGGTGCCCAGAACTGGACGCAGTACTCCCAACTGCAGCCTGACCAGTATTGCACAGAGGGGGAGGATCACCTCCTTGGACCTGCTTAAGATGCATCTGTGGATGCATGACAAGGTATGGTTAGCCCTGCTGTGTCCTCGCATTGTTGGCCCACGTTCATCTTGGAGTCAGTAATGACTCCAAGATCTCTTTCCGCCACCGTGCTTTTGAGAAGGGAGTTCCCCAGCCTATAGGTATGCTGCTGGTTCCTACTGCTTAAGTGCAGCACCTTGCACTTGTCAGTATTGAATCCCATCCTGTTTTCACTTGCCCACCCCTGTAACCTGTCCAGGTCCCGCTGTAATCTGTCCTTCCCTTTTAGCGTGCCCACCTCACCCCAAATCTTGGTGTCATCTGTGAATTTAAACAGGGTGCTTTTCACCCTGTTGTCCAAGTCACTCATAAAGAAATTGAACTGTGTGGGCTGTTCTTGTAGCAATTGTTCCCAAAACACAACTAGCGAGGAAAGACTTTCCCCAGCTAATATACAGATAGAATTCAAGGTAGTGCAGAATGTCAAATATTTAAGATTAAGAGGTTAAGGAAGGAAACTTCTGAGAGAAGCTGGCCCAAGGTAAGTTAAGTAAAACATGATATGGTCTGACTTGCAAGCTAAGGCTTGGTTAAATGGAAAGAAGGATGACATCACTGCACAGCTCCTGATACATGTTCTACTTGTTGTGTTGCTTCATTTCTTTCACGGGGCTCCACTGCTTACCATAACCAGCAGCATGTGCACTATGGCAATACCTGGTACAAACATAAGGCAAACTCATGGCTTCAACTCCCAACTAGCTGAGCTTTCTGAGAGCCTGACTTCTCAGCACTTAGTGCCTAAGGTGGCAACCGCATTCCAACAGTTACTAGTCCCAGATCAACTCCATAAAGCTCAGTACTAGCCAGTGGATGAAATCAAGCTAAAACCCGTAAGCCTAATTCATCATGTTGCCATGTGTTATGCTGACTCAGTGCATGTAGCAGTGACAGATGCTGTTTTGTATGAATTTTTAGTCAAATGGCTGCTCCTACCTTTAAAGAACCTAGTGTCAAGCTTCTGCTCTTCTCAATTGCTTTAAAACCACAGAATCAAAGCAAAGGGTTACAGTTAAAGCTGAAAGTGAAACTAGAAGGTGGAGGGCACCACACAATCCTTCTCCCAGCACCAATCACAACTCTTAGGATCCTTTACAGATATGTTATTTAAGAAGCCAACAGTTTCCTTTCTCAAACTTTCTAGTCATTAACAGACCACCGTGGTGTACCCACTTCCCACAGGTCCTTTATCTCAGCCGACAGCCATTCCTCCTTAGGTTTCTCACCAACTCCTACTTTCACAATAGGACAAAGCCCTATAGAGTTAAACACTGAGTCTGAATATTTGCTAAGAAAATGGCTGAAGTCTGCTAGTGGCTCAGAGCTCAGCAGTGAACTTTCAGCAGCAGTACAAGAATGGATACGATGTCCATAAGGACAAGTCTTTTCTCCCCTGCTCTAGCTGACAATAGTCTGCGTGGCAGAGGTAAAGATCAAGAGGAAGGCCTGGCTGCTTCATTGCTACCCCATTCTGTTGAGTGGGGAAGGGACAGTCCTTAGACTATGCAGCCTTCCTGAGCCCCTTGAAGGAAGCTTCCTCACAAAGGGGAATCAGTCTCTCCTGTCTTAGGGGAAACAAGTGCTACATCATGCAAAACCAGTGACTTAATGAAGTAACAGCTACTTTGAGCCAGAGCTGTCTGATAAAACCTGGCTAAAGGGTAATGTTAGATGAGGAGCTGTTGCTCTGAGTTCATCAGCTGGAAACCCTTGTGGACAGAGGAGAACAAGACTGGAGGGTGCATATACCTCCAATTGCTTACCAAATGGCAGGCAGTTTGGAGAGGATAATTAGGGTTACTGTATGTCTGGGTTTTTCCGGACGTGTCCTTTTTTTAGATTGTCTGATCTTGGTCCAGGAGTTCTCTTTAAATATGATCAAATGTCCAGGATTTTGGTCAGCTTTGCTTCAAAGTTTTTCCTGGCATTTCCTGGTTTGCCCTAGCAGGGAGCAGCTTGGAGGTGGGAACAGAGTGATTGGAGGCAGGACACATGCACACGGAGCCAGGCACAGGGGTGGGAGCAGCCCAGTAGCTAGTTACAGGAAAGTCTGTTGGGGGGTGCAGGTCCAGGGCTGCAGCAGGGTGGGGGAGATTCCTGCCCCTCCAGTGGGCAAAGAGGTCCATTAGGGGCAGCAGAGAGTGTGTGTCTAACCCGGTGGAACCCGGGGCCAGTGCCTATACTCACAGAGGCAGGGCTGGGGGGAAATGGGGCTGCGGAGGCTTTGGCGTGAAGGGCATTGGGGGGCTGGGGGAAGGGCTGTGGCTTGGAAGTGAGGGACATCAGGGAGGGCAGGGGATTGTGGGTTGGGGGCATAAGGCAGTGGCAGTGCCAGGGGGTTGCAAGTGAGGGGCACCAGCAGGGATGGGGGGGGGGGCTGTGGTTTGAGAGTAAGGGGCACCAGCATGGCCCAGGGTACTGCAGTCTGGGAGTGAGAGGCACTGGTAGGGCAAGGAGTCAGCAGGCTGGGCATGAGGGGCAGCAGCAGGGCTGGGGAGGCTTTGACTTGGGAGTGAGGGACAACAGAATGGGCAGGGGCAGGGGCAGGGGCAGAGGGCTAAAAGGGAGAGGAGAACAAGGCACTAGGTTAAAAAATGGGAGACCTGAATTGTATTTTCAGCTCCGCCACTGATTTGTAGTGAGAATCAGAGCAAGTCAGGTCTGCCTCATCCACACTACCACAGTTTCCCAGAAGAATTTACCTTCTGGTGGAAGA